CCCCGCTCACTCTCTATAACCCCACTCACCCTCTATAACCCCACTCATCCTCTATAACCCTGCTCACGCTCTATAACCCTTTACTCCATGCTTACCGTAAGAAGCCCCTTCCATTTGCTTGGACAGCTGAGCTCGAATTGTGGGCATTGGAATACAAGAGAATAACATCATGCTGCGAGCTGGAGAAAATAAAGGTCACACCGTCACTGTGTGTACACAGACTGCCCCGTCACTGTGTGCGTACGCAGACTGCCCCGTCACTGTGTGTGTACGCAGACTGCCCCGTCACTGTGCGTACACAGACTGCCCCGTCACTGTGTGCGTACACAGACTGCCCCGTCACTGTGTATACACAGACTGCCCCGTCGCTGTGTGCGTACGCAGACTGCCCTGTCACTGTGTGCGTACGCAGACTGCCCCGTCGCTGTGTGTGTACGCAGACTGCCCCGTCGCTGTGTGTATACGCAGACTGCTCCGTCACTGTGTGTACACAGACTGCCCCGTCACTGTGTGTGTACCCAGACTGCCCCGTCACTGTGTGTACCCAGACTGCCCCGTCACTGTGTGCGTACGCAGACTGCCCCGTCACTGTGTGTACGCAGACTGCCCCGTCACTGTGTGCGTACGCAGACTGCCCCGTCACTGTGTGTACACAGACTGCCCCGTCACTGTGTTTACACAGTCTTTCACTCATTGACTCTCACATGCAGTTTCATCCTCTCCAACTCACACACATAGTCTCACATTCTCTGACTCACAGACGTAGTCTTACACTCACTGATTCTCACACACAGTCTCACTCTCGCTCTCTGACTCTCACGCAGTCTCTCACTGACTCTCTGACTATTACACACAGTCTCACACTTGCTGACTCTCACACTTATTCCCTAACTCTCACACACAGACTCACACTCAATTGCTGACTCTCATGCACAGTCTCACACTCACACACACACAAGTGTCACACAATGTTCTTGACCTCAGTGGCTGAGCTGCCCCCATGCCAGGTTCCCGCAAGGTGTGGCCATGAGGACACTGAGTTTTATTAGACTGTAGGTACACAGAATCCACCCACACACACAGCTTCAAAGCTCAAAGCCACTGCCAAATCCACAAAAGAAAACTCCTCATCCCAGTTCCAGTCGAGTGTGCGTGCCATCGTAACAGTTTCTGTTTTTTACGCTTGCTGTCAAGGTAACAGTGCAATGTTGTGACATTATTCAATTAATAACCATGGCTACAGCCCATCCCATAACTGCAGCTGGGAATGGGTGAAACTTGATTTGGTCATTCATGTCTGACCCAAAGAAAGCAGCAAGTTTTTGACAGTGATTTTTAAAAAAATATATGGGATTATAGGTCCTTCGATTGTGTTGTCCTCATATTATTATTAGAGAGGGGACGACCTGTGATGAAGAATAAAATTCACACTCACTAGCTCACACACACTCGTGCTGACACTCTCACTCACACACACTTTTGCTTACTCAAAGCACTCAAACACACTCTTGCTCATTCACACTCACTCAGATAAACTTACACTTACTAACACATACGCTCACATTTAATCACATACTCGTGCTCACTTGCACTCACACACTCATTCAATTATACACACATTTACACTCAGTCTTGCACACTTATTCACACAAACTTATGATCACACTCACCCGCACAAACTCATTTACTTAAATCCATTCACACACATTCACACTCACATACACACTCAAGCTCATAAAGACACAAAATCTTACTCACACCTTCACAGGACTTTGCATACACCCTTACTTTCATCCTCGCTCTCACTCGTATACACCCTCACACTTTCACTCTTGCTCACACCCTCACATTTCCATCCTCGCTCTCACCCTTACAAACCCTCCCACTTTCACACCGTTATACACATAATCATTCCCACACTAAAATGAATCACTTCACATTTGTCCTCCTATTGCTATTTGGAGTTTGCATCTTCACATGATAGACAGTGGGAGAGGGATTGAGAGGAGTTTCAGGTTGTGAAGCATCATGCTGCTGACACCGCCAATTCTACAGTTGATCTTCCTGATGTCACTTTATGAAAGAGCTCTGCAAAGCACAGCTGGACATTAATCTGATCCATGGAAAGCTGGGCTGAAGCTGCGAGGAATGTGCAAGTTCATCCTGACTGGTAGAGTGTGTATCTCAGGGAGAAAGCATGAGCAGGATTTTGTGGGAGTCGCTGTAGTTGAGGGCAGGTTTGGTGATAATTAAAAATGAGGAGAAACATTATAAAATAAAAGGTATCATTTTAAAGGGGGTGCAGGGGCTCAGGATCCTTTGTGTATGTGTGTGAAGATCATTGAAGGTGGCTGGATAGGTGGACAGAGCAGTTAATAAAGCATACATGCCCACAACTTTGTCAATAGGGGAATAGAGTACAAGAGCAGAGAGGCGATGTCAAACATGTGCAAGACACTTGCTGGACCTCAGCTGGAGTATTGTACACTGTTATGGGCGCCTCACTTTAGGAAGGATGAAAACACTTTGGAGAGGTTCCGGGAGTGAGACCCTTCAGTTTTGATGGTAGACTGAAGAGGTTGGGAGCATTCTTTTTGGAGAAAGGAATACTGAGAGGAGGTTTCCAAAATCAGGAGAGCCTGAATAGAGTAGAGAGGGAGAAACTGCCCCTGCTTATAAAGGGAGCAATGACAAGAGGGCACATATTTAAAGTGTAAAGTAAAAGAAGCAATGACAATGCTAAGAAGTACTTCACACGAGTGTTTCAGACTGGTATGCACTGCCTGAGAGTATGAGAAGCCACATTTGGAGTATCGTGTGCAGTTCTGGTCGTCCTATTGTGGAAAGGATATTACTAAATTAGAAAGAGTGCAGAAAAGATTTACTAGGATGTTACCTGGACTGCAAGGTTTGAGTTTTAAGGAGAGGCTGGATAGGCTGGGACTCTGTTCCCTAGAGCAGAGGAATCTGAGGGGTGACGTTATGAAGGTCTATAAAATTATGAGAGCCATAGATAAAGTAGATATTGGGCAACTCTTCCCCATGGTCGGGGAGCCAAAATCTGAGGGCATAGGTTTAAGGTGAGAAGGGAAAGATACAAAAGGGTTCAGAGGGGAAGCTTTTTCATACAGAGAGTGGTGAGTGTCTGGAATGGGCTGTCAGAGGTAGTGGTGGAGGCAAGTACAATTTTAGAAACATTTGGACAGGTATATGGATGGGATAGGTACGGACGGATATGGACCAAACTCAGGCAAATGGGACTAGTTTAATTGTGAAAACTGGGCAGCATGTTGTAAACCTCTATGGCTCTATGGTGGAGGCAAGGTTTCAAGAGGGAACTAGAGCAGGATCTGAAAAAGAAAAATGTGCGTATAACATTCAAACCAAGAAACAATGAACTAAGAGTACAAATAGAAATGAATGAGTAGGTTCTGATCAAATTACATTAATTGGACTGGAATATTGAAGGTTACATGGCATTAAGAAGGGCAGAAAGCTAGGAAAAGGTGGATGAGTGGCATTTTAGTTAATGATAATTTTAACACACCAGAGAGGCCTAGGTTCTAGAAACCAGGATGTGGAAACAGTCTGGGTGGAGACGAGCAATGATAAAGGCAAGAATTCACTTGTGGAAGTGGTATATATGCCCCCAACAGTAACCATACTGTAGGTGGAGTATAAAGAAGGAAATAATTGGAGCTTGCCAGAAAGGCATTATGATAATCAAGAGGGATTTTAATCTACATATAGACTTGAAAAGTCAGACATATAAAGGGAGTATAGATGAATTGTTCAGAGAATGTTTTTAGGACAGTTTCTCTGAACACTAGACCAGTTTTTTAAATTCGTTCAATGGATGTGGTTATTACTGAATGGGCCAGCATTTATTGCCCAAATGGGAATTAAGAGTCAATCAACATCACTGTGGGTCTGGTGTCACATGGATGTCAGGTAACAATGGCAGATTTCCTTCCTGAAGGGACATTAGTGAACCCAGATAGGGTTTAAAGGTGTGGGATAATGTAAATAACATTTAAGATTTAGTCAGTTAACAATAATATATAGTAAACATTAAAAATAATTTGGATAAGGCAATGAAAAAAGTGAATAGGGTCTATACTTGACAAAATTCCACAATTAAAATCATAGAATCCCTATAGTGCAGAAAGAGGTCATTCAGCGCATCAAGTCTATACCAATCCTCTGAAAAACATCTCACTAGGTCTCTATCCTATCCTTCTAACCCCTTTACCATGGCCAATTCATCTAACCTGCATATCTTTGGACTGTGGTAGGAAACCAGAGCACCCACAGGAAACTCACACAGACACAGAGAGAACATGCAAACTCCACACAGATAGTCACCCAAGGCTGGAATTGAACCCAGGTCCCTGATGCTGTGAAGCAGCAGTGCTAACCACTGAACCACATTGCTAATCATGAACTGAAATAAAAGTGTGCAACAATGTACATAATCGGCAGTACGATGGCTCAGTGGTTAGCACTGCTGCCACACAGCGCTAGGGACCAGGGTTCAATTCCACCCTAGGGCGACTGTCTGTGTGGAGTTTGCACATTCTCACCGTGTCTACGTGGGTTTTCTCTGGGTGCTCCGGTTTCCTCCCACAGTCCAAAGATGTGCAGGTTAGGTGGATTGGCCATACTAAATTGCCCATAGTGTTTAGGGATGTGTAGATTAGGGGGATGTGTCTGGGTGGGATGCTCCGAGGGTCGGTATGGACTTGTTGGGCCGAAGGGCCTGTTTCCACACTGTAGGGATTCTATGAAAATGAATATATTAGCAGAAAGTCCTTTCAATAAAAAAGTGTGCGAAAGAAAACACTCAATAATAGGCAAAATGGTTCATAGGACTTTGGCAGATCAGCCAGAGTGGAGGGGCCTGGGATAGATTACTGGTAAAACAGAGAGACAACTGTTATGAATCATGGTGAACCGGGTGGTTTGGGTATATTCCTCAAGGTTACTAGGCATAGATTATAAATTTGTAGTTTGTAAAATGGTTGTACAAAGTCATGAAGAATCAGGAACTACTCACAACTACATTTTGCACAACCATTGACAATTTGTTGGAAGGAGGCCAGATAAATAAATTCAAAATAAGGCCATCAGTTCTAAAAGACAACTACCAAATGTGGACACTGATATCAAAAATTAACCA